TGTCCTTTTACTCATTATTTGTAACATAAAGAAAAGGGAGACACACTATAGGTCATTTATGCCCTTAGTAAGTGAGTGAACTTATTTGCCCTCTTCTTAAAGGCTAGGGAGCACTTCCATTTTGTTTGTTTCTTTGTTTAGGATACTTTCAAACTTTCCAAACAATTGTGAGTCTGCAACAGAGTCCATAGGAAGCCACAGTTATTTGAGGAGACAGTGGTCTTCTCTGGGAGGGACCCCAGTGTGGACATTTGCTGTCACCACACCTGTGCCCTGGGGCAGGTAGCATCACCCCCAACAGGGACGTGGGGACCCACATGCTCTATGTGGCCTGGCCCCTCATGGACCCAGCCTGCAAGGAGTTGTCCCACCTGCCCCGTCTCACCGACTTTTCCCTTCAGCAGACAATAAAGGGGATTAGGGTAGGAACCTAACAAATGTGCTTATGTTCCCTTTGACTTATTGGTACAGTCATAATTTCTTTCAAATGCAGATGTAATAATTGGTTGTTTGATGAAATCAGACATCCTCTACCTTCCCAGAAAATAAAGTTCCTTCAGGAAACATTGGTGACATTCCAAGGAACATTCCTAGATACATTCAGAGTGATTTTTATTTGAAGAGTGTGCTTGTGTGCCCCTGGGATGGCTCCAAGTGACCTGAGGATATCAATTAGTTTTGTCACCTGTTTTTGTAAAGCTCCTGCTCTTCCCTTTCAGTTTTAAAACTGTCCTAGCTTGGACGGCAAGCTAATCCACTGCAAAGATCCCAGTAGTGTGGGTGCTGAGGGCGGGCTGCATAATGGCAGAAATTACCCAAGAATTAACAAAGTAAAGAGGACTTTGGGCTCAGAGCATTGATTCTGCAGAGAAAATCGGTCAGGTCAGGGTGCACAGCCTCTTTCTGCTGCAAACTCCCCAAAGGCTGTGGGATCCACCTCTGAAAATATGAAACAGTACAGAAGCTCAGAGATCCAGTTCCCTCATCTCATAAATGATGAGACTGAGGCCCAGAAGACGGGGAAGGGATTTATCTAAAACCCGGCAGGTAGTCAATGTCCACTATGTTTCTAGTTCATCTCACCATCATCTCCTCTTTTTGTTCACGTTGAGTTGACATTGAAAGGAGTTAGGGTTGTTCTTTAAAATCCTTATTAGAGACCGTTTGGTTGCTCGCCTTGTCCCCTCTCTCATTGCTGGGTCCTGTCTTGGCCATGTGGCTGTGACATGCAGTCAGGGTGTTCTCCCCTAGAGCACTCGGGGGATGGGGGCTGCTATGGCTCTGAGAACCTAAAAGCCCCTGAACAGTTCCATGAGCACCTGTGATTCTCCACCCCCAGAGGGGGCCCCAAAGGTCACTCCACTGTCTTGAATGGTTTCCATTTCTGCCCCACAGTCACTGACTAAGGGCTCCAGAGTAGGTCCCCTGGTGCAATCATGTGAGGTTGATGTTCATCCAGTAAATCAGCTGTCTATATCACGAAGGGTCAGCTGGGCCACTTGCTCTCAGGCTGGACATCAGTGACCTGGGAGCCTCCATGTCAAGAACTTCAGGGGGTGTTCCTCTCTGGGGTTAAACTCTGCATGAGAACTGCAATCATGCCTCCATCTGAGCTGTTGGCTGCTACTGGGTAGCAGCTCAGCCCTGAATCTACCTCGATTTCCTCCCGGACTGTTGAGTGACAGGCGCTGAGGATTCATTCAGTGGGACCTTGCTCTGCTGACTCCTGCTGAGACCTAGAATGTGATCACAGAGAATACCACTCATTAGGCCCAATGAACAGTTAACAGACAAAATGACCCTGCCAATTCTGGACTTCCTATGTTGCTGCCTTTGTACTATTTCTTTTCTTTTCCTGTTGATATTGGTTTAGACCCAGTTGCCTATGAAACCAGCATCTCTTCTTCAAGCCATCCAGTTTGGTTCAACTGAATATCACTCAGAAGATGGGGTGGAAAATTCAGTTTATTGCAGTCAATCCTGAGCTTCCTTCTTTTTTTTGGAAACTGTTTTTTTTTTAAATGGCAGTTTCATATAAATTTTACCTGAGCAGGTATTTCTGCATAAGAACTGAACTCAGGATTGGGGAAGGGGGCCTCTGAATAAAATATATTTCCTGTCTTTGAAAAAAAAAAAAAAAAACCTCAGCTATACAATTGTATAGATGAATTCTGCTCTGTGAGAGGTCAGGACTTGTCATTATTCTAGTTCCCTGCCCCACGAGAGAGCAACACTTCATCCTTTATCAGCAGTTCTGTTCTCAGTCCAGTGCCATCCTGTCTTCTTTCCCTCTCTGTCCTGGTTTCCCGGTGCCGTGGCCACTGTCCGTGGTGCTGGAGTAGTGTGTGGTCTGATACATGGCGGCATCTTGGTCTGACGTGTGTGACTCGCGTTCCGGTGTGTTTTAACACTGTGCCTCTGTAACTGTTTGTGCTGCTAGCTGCTACACAGAAGCAACCATGCTGTTCTCAAGGCAGTCCACCCTTGATGATTTAGATGGACCAGAAACTGTGCCTAAAATGAGTGAGCACACTCGGCCCGGGCTCCATAAAATGCTCAGCATGGATGTGTCCTGATGAGGTGCATAGCCTCCAGGTGCTCACCCGTGCATGCTTTGCCCATGACCGTGTCAAACCTTTCCCATGTCATTGCACAGATGAGTTATTGTGACCTGTGTGTTTTTGTTCACTTTTGTTTTAAAAAGGGCATGACTAATGATAGCATAACAAGCATCCTTCCAGGGACACAACTGGTCGTTCCCAGGACAGCATTCTATCCAACTAACTGCTCTTTGCTTTTTGTCTGTTAGGAGTTTCTTAAAAATCCTACTATAAACATAGTCCTCCATAGTGTAAATATGTCACACTTCCTAATTCCAAAGGAGCAAGCATGTTTCCTCCTTGCTTGAGGGTGCCAGTAGGCAGTCCTCATGGGGAGAAATGGGTCAGGAAGAGTAGGAAAGTTTCTCATAGTTTTGTCCAAAGATCCACCCTGCTGCTGCTGTTAAGTTGCTTCATTTTACACAGTAGGAGATAACCCCCAATCCTGTATGTAGTCACATCTGGTCAATACAGAGTGAATCTGTCCACATGTTACGTGCCCAACTGACATGAAAGTTAGAATATATTCAACCATAGTTTTTAAAACATTATTATTATTCAGTAGAATATATTACCTTGGCAGACCTTAACTTGTTTGGTTTGGGATAGATTGCTTTGTGCCTGTCATTTCTCATTAAATCCCATGACAAAAACTATGATCAGGCATAAAAATGAAATCACTTGCTTAAAATCCAAAACCTGTTCTTTGAAAAGTCAAAAGGAACACAGAAACACCAGCTATATTGTTCTTATTATGACACAAAACAACCACGAAAATAACCCAATGCAAAACTAAGGGCAGTGTTGGCAAATCAGCCAGAGAATTTTGAGTATTACTTTACTAGTGTTAGAGATGAGTGCAACCATGTGGTAGTTTGAGCATTCTTTGGCATTGCCTTTCCTTGGGATTGCAATGAAAACTGACCTTTTCGAGTCCTGTGGCCACTTCTGAGTTTTCCAAATTTGCTGGCATGTTGAGTGCAACACTTTCACAGCATCATCTTTTAGGATTTGAAACATCTTAACTGGAATTCCATCACCTCCACTAGCTTTGTTCATAGTGATGCTTCCTAAGGCCCACTTGACTTCACATTCCAGGATGTCTGGCTCTAGGTGAGTGATCACATCATCATGATTATCTGGTCATAAAGATCTTTTTTTGTATAGCTCTTCTGTGTATTCTTGCCATGTCTTCTTAATATCTTCTGCTTCTATTAGGTCCACAAGTCCTTGATTTTTGGCCAATTACAAAAGAAGATATTTTAAAGCTCATTAACACCTTGGGTTCTGTATCCCCAGTCCCAGGAAAGAGAGGGTAGTTCAATGGATTTCTTGGGCATTACTTCAAAGGAGTATGACCAACGTTCTGCAGGATTCCTAGAAGATATGGTGTGGAAAACACCTCCTTTGCCCCTGTGGTCAACAGCAATGTGACAAGAGCCAGAACCCCTTTCCTTCCTGCCCCAGAGAGAGATCTCTTCGGGGTTTATCCAAGATGCAAAAGGACACCTCACAGCAATGGTCCCTTTCAGACATTCCCATCACCCCTAAGTCACAATGCAATACTGAGGGGTGCCCCCACGCAGCCTCATCACAATCACCACTCACAGAATGAACCCAGCTTCCCAAAGCCCCAAAGAGCCCTAGTTCATGCACCAACCCCAGGGTGCTCCTCCTGGAGCTGCACCCTGTGTTGCTTTTTCTGTGGGATTAGGGGACATTCCTCCAGCTTCCTTGTGTGACTCTTGCTCCTAGACCATCACTCTAGGTGTGGGGGTGTCCTGCTTCTCCTTGTGTCCTCACTGCTAACACGGCCTTTCACGGAGCAGAGGCTCTGTAAAGGTCTTCAGAATAAATGAGCCAGTGGGCAAAGCTCAGATTAATTGTCTGCTACTTCTGTAAATAACCCAGACAAATCCAAATAAACAGATAACTTAGCTTTTGAGAGTGATACCCCAAAAGGTCATAAACACTAATTCACTATGATCACCTTTATTATTACCTAAATCTTCCCCCATCAGTATTGCTGCTAGGTAACCTCACGTTTCCAAAAGAGTTCTAATTCCACTTCCAATGTATCCCTTTCAGGGTCACAAAACAAAATGGAAGACTTCCCCATCTCTTTTACAAAAGAGCAAAACTCTTGTACTTGAACTGGGTAACTACAAACACATTTTGATCCTCATCATTCACAAACTAAGACATTACATGTTATTTAGCCTTCTATTAAACGATCAAAGTTTGAAATGTTTCTAAAGAAAGCAGAGATGAATCTCCATGTCATCATAGAAAAGATGCTACACACCAGTTCCGCAAACTGGCCCAGGCCCTCACTTCCGAGAAGGCTGACCACTCCCTCTTCAATGACAGAGGGAAGGATCACCTGAATGCTGCTCTGGCTCAGGCCCCCTCTTCCTCCTCCCTTGCAGCCTCTGCAGACAGGGGTGGGAAGGCCCTCAAAGCCCTTTGTTTGATCCTGTGCACAAATGCCATGACTTGCCACTTGCTGGTCTCCAGATAGGCCTGGGGACCCCACAGGAACTCATAGTGGGCAGAGTGGCTGCCCTCCCCAAGGGCGGAGGAGGCCAAGGGGGATGCAGCCTCCCCGACCTCAGCCCCCAAGAGCTGCACCTCCACACCCTGGGCTTCGCCTGGGTCCTGAAGGTCTTTCTTGTACCTGCTTGGCTTGCTCAGCTCACTCTTCTCAACCACGAGTGCGTTGCCTGGGATGAAACCACAGACAGGAGTGAGGCTGAGGAAAAATGGAGACGACGGACCTCAGCTGAGAAACACACCCGGGATGGTCTGACACAGGCCACTTAAAAGTCTCCTCTTGAGGGGTCCCCTCAGTCCTCCCCCAGGGTACGCAGTCCTCCCTCAGGGTCCTCACCTAAACTCGTTCAGAACCTAAGAATCTCCTCCCCAATCTCTGAGGCCCTGCCCCGTATATCACGTCTCCAGTGTCCCTAGACCCTGTGCTCATGCAGCCAGCAGAGTCCCCTCGGGCGGAAAGCAGGTTGCAGGACCTGTGGGGTTGCCTGTGTCCTCCCTCAAGGTCCTCATCTTGAGCGCTGCAGGTCTGGGGATGCCCCTTGTGTTGACCAGAGACAGGGCCCTTACACCAGGCCGTCACTGCCCTGAGACCCTCAGGGAGAGTCTGTGGACATGACATCAGGGTTCCAAGCCCAGGGTTTCCCATATCTGAGAAGATGCCCCGACATTCCTCAATCCTCCTCCTGTTCTTCACATTGACTCTCAGCAAGTCTGGGTACCACCCTCTCACCGAGACCTTGCTCCCCTTAAAACCAGGCCCTCCCAATCCAGGACCCCGAGAAGGTAGCAGGAGTAGGCAGCTCATTACGCCAACCATGCCGGGGTCTCCCAGGGCTGATCACATTGATGATGTGGATGTCCTGGGGTCACAGAGGCCCCCTCAGGTTTCCACATTGACTCCTAGCACAGCTGGGCTCCTTCACTCTGCCGACCTGAACACGGACACCTGACCCAGGCCCTCACTTCTCCCCTCCCATCGGGATCAGTGATGTCACATCTGGATGTCATGACACATGGTACCCCAGGGCTGTTGGGAGAGTGGCACATGCATCCCCTGGGGAACCTCAGTCTCCTCTGGTCCTCACCTCGAATCTGGGCAGGACGTGTGCACCTCCCTCTGCCCACCTGTGAGTGTGCCCCAAAGACCAAGCCTCTGAATCCCTGAGTTCACTGAGGAAGTAAGGGGGGCTTGGCGTCTCCACCTGACAGCCCGGACCGAGGCCCCCAGGAGCCCCAGTAGGGGTGGAGTTGTATTCTATGGGGCCGTCTGTTCCAGGATGCCTGGACCCCCTCGTCCTCTCTCAGGAGGATGCCTCCTTAACACTTGAGAGAAGGCTGCAGTCCCAGCACAGATGCTGGATGGGGGGCTGCTGCAGCCATGACAGTCAGGGAGCACAGGGAACCACTCACCTTCCCATGAGGGCCCCTCAGCACTTACGAGACTTGTAAAATTTTGTATTAAAGATGTTGTTTTAGCCAAAGAGAGTGAGGAGTGGCAGAAGAGTTAGCAAGAATTCAGCAGCCTGGAGATGGCCTTGGCCACGCATAGTGACTTCACACTCCACCTCTCTGGGGTATCCACAGGGTCGTCTCCTGGTGGCTCTCTTCCACTGGTCTATATGTATGCCCCCCCCACAATGGGACCTTCTTGTGCAGAGTGGCCAGAGGGGCTCTTGGAGGCCAAGGACTCCTTTGTTTTGGGTTCTAAGTCTCCACTGCTTGGGTGACCTTAGACTCTTCTACCAGGAAGGAGAGACTTTCAGGAGGAGGATGGGTGGCTGAGCTGCCCTGCCCCTGGGGCCCCTGATGGCCGAGGACTCAGCCTCACTGCAGTCCAACCCAGCCCCCCATGATGGCCTGGCTGCCCCCAGGCCCCTAAAACTGCCCAGAGCCCTGCTCGGAGGTCGGAGGTGCTGCCTGAGTTAGACTTGAGCATCCCCAGGTTTGCTGAGAGTGCAGGCATGCAGAGCTCATCGTCTGGAAGGTTTGCATGGGGCCTCAGGTGGCCCCTGGCTGGGACCTCAGACCCTGGAGATGGGGACCTTCCCTCCCTTTCCAGAGGCTCAGCAGATGCCTGAGCACCTTGCTGCCCATTCAAAGGCCTTGTTTGTGGAGCTGGGCATGGGCAAACCCCAGGCCATGGTGTCTCATCAGCCTCCCCTGCCAGTTTGTAGCTCAACTCATCCCAGGGCCCTTCCTCATGACAGTTCCCACGGAGTCCCAGGCGATTCCTCCTGCAGAGAGCTGGCACTCCAGACCACTGCCAAGTTTGCTCATCACAGGCTAAGCCTTGTTTCTGTCATCCAGAAATCAGACACTTCGAGCCTCCCCACCTCATCCCTGTTTGGACAAGTCACCTCCCTTTGTGAAACGACAGAGCAAGGGAGACCAGGGCACGAAAGAGCCACTGAGGACCCAAGATGACCACTGGGCCGAGTGAGGCTCAGGCAGAGCTGGTGGGAAGTGAGTTGTCCATGGTTCACCGGATCCCTGGGGTCTGCCCTATTGGGCCCCCAGGGTCACCCTAACCTAGTTGGAGCACCTGTGAGGCAGGACCCCTCTCTGAGACACCCTGTCTGGTTGAATTGCATTTCCACTCTCCTAGACACTGTTGCCTGTCCCCTGGCTTCGGGGACAGAAGAAAACCCATGACTCTAGAGCCACCTGGCCCCTCCTCCGGTGACCCGGGCATGCCTGGGGCTCAAGATAGCTTGACTGTCCAGGGCCAGCCCATAAGGGCCATGCTCCCTCCCTCCACTCCTGTGTGACCTTAGGCTGCCACCTCTGCCCGGCCCAGGAAGACCCATGCTTAGCCACTTCACTCCACAGACATCAGTCGAAAACTACCAAGGACTAAATGGGGGGAGTGATGTACCACATGGGTCTTTCGATGTCAGGCAGCCTTGACTTTGTAAATTAATGGTGCCTTTTGTGACAAGCAGGTGACTTGAGATTGCAATCTGCACATCTTCGCTTTCTCTACAGATGTACAGGTAAGCAGGTGCCACACCTGCTGAGGTTTCTGGGAACATGGTATTTAAATAGCAGCATCTGCATGTGATTCCAGGTCAGGAGGCATACGGAAGTCAAGACAAAAAAATCAAATGAAACCTTCTGAAAAAGTTAGGTGTTCACCAGGCAGTGAACATTAGTAAGGGGTTGTGTTTTGACTTGGAAGTTAGCAGCTTGGTCGGGCATCATGGCAGCTCAGTGCTGGGGCTGACAAAGGCCTGGCCTGAAACGCCCCGTGTCCTTTCTCAGGGGCCTCCTCTGCCTGCGCCAGACTGCCAACAAGGGAGACCCAGCCTTCCGGTTCTGGTGGACTGGTGTGCATGCTCTCCCCTCTCCTGACCTCAGAGCCCTTGTCTCTGCAGCAGGATCCTGGAGGGCTATTTGCTATGCACTTCAGGACAAACACTCTTTTGTTGTTGTTGTTGTTGAACTAATAACCACTTTTATTTATTTATTTATTTTTTTCATTCATCTCTAATAGTTGGAGGCTAATCCGTTTACAACATTGTAGTGGTTTTTGTCACACATTGACATGAATCAGCCATGGATTTACATGCATTCCCCATCCCAATCCCCCCTCCCACCTCCCTCTCCACCTGATTCCTCTGGGTCTCCCCAGTGCACCAGGACTGAACACTTGTTTCATGCATCCAGCCTGGGCTGGTGATCTGTTTCACCCCTGATAATAAGCATGTTTCGATGCTGTTGTCTCGAAACATCCCACCCTTGGCTTCTCCCACAGAGTCCAAAATTCTGTTCTGTACATCTGTGTCTCTTTTACTGTTTTGCATATAGGGTTATCGTTACCATCTTTCTAAATTCCATATATATGTGTTAGTATACTGTATTGGTCTTTATCTTTCTGGCTTACTTCACTCTGTATAATGGGCTCCAGTTTCATCCATCTCATTAGAACTGACTCAAATGAATTCTTTTTAATGGCTGAGTAACATTCCATGGTGTATATGTACCATAGCTTCCTTATCCATTTGTCTGCTGATGGGCATCTAGGTTGCTTCCATGTCCTGGCTATTATAAACAGTGCTGCGATGAACATTGGGGTGCACGTGTCTCTTTCAGATCTGGTTTCCTCGGTGTGTATGGCCAGAAGTGGGATTGCTGGGTCATATGGCAGTTCTAATTCCAGTTTTTTAAGAAATCTCCACACTGTTATCCATAGCAGCTGTACTAGTTTGCATTCCCACCAACAGTGTAACAGGGTTCCCTTTTCTCCACACCCTCTCCAGCATTTATTGCTTGTAGACTTTTGGATAGCAGCCATCCTGACTGGCGTGTAATGGTACCTCATTGTGGTTTTGATTTGCATTTCTCTGATAATGAGTGATGTTGAGCATCTTTTCATGTGAGGACAAACACTCTTTTAAGAGAAAGCGTGTTATAAAATGGACACCCCCGCAAGCAAAGGGTGCTGAGATGTGACACCATTGGAGCACTCAGCTGAAAAGGGAAAAGAAAAGAGAAACAAGAAAATGTCACCAGATGCAGGCCCTGCAATGAAGCCAAACCTCGGGCCTGCTGTCCAGACACCAGCAAGTCCCCAAAATGAACACCCGCAGGCCTCGGACAGGGAACACAAGCTCCAGCCCTGTGCATTTCAGGACAGGAAAGGCTCTTTGGGGGCCCCCAACAAGGCGAGGCTATTAACTCATAGGTCAAGTGAGGAGCTTGCTGGACAGTGTCCCTGTTTCCATGAAGCCACTCCACCAGGCGCTTGTCAAGCCCTTGACAGGTCTTTTCAATGAGTGGGTACAGTTCATCTGAGGGGCTTCCCTGGGTGTGTACAAGGTACCCACATTGTGCTGGAGGTGGGCAGCCGTATGTCTTGCCTTCCGAGCAAGCAGCTGCCTGATGGGACGCAAATGCTCAGCCAGGCCCAGGATGGAGGTGCTAAAGACGTGTGCTGGGTGGGAAATCCCTTGTGTTTTCAGGCTCCTTAT